CTACTCTCTGACTTTCCCTCACCACATGTAGGAGCTTACTAGAAAGCAAGCAGCCTGCTGGGCTTAGCTTGGCAATGCATGTCTTATGGAGGCTCAGGCATTACATGTTAGAGGATCCAATCCCAGTTGCTTCTAAAGAGTGAGGAGGAACCTTGGCCCCAGAAATGATTCCCAAGGTGAGTCAACCAAACGGCCCATTGGGCTGCCTGCAAAATTTGTTCAAGATAATAAAATGGAAAGTGAAAGTGAGGATTGCTCTTACACCGATATTTAGTAAGCACCTACTATAATGTCAGCGCTACTCTCGGTTCTGGGGATAGCACACAGAACAACACAAAAATGGCTCTTGCCCTTATGGAGTGTAATCTGGTAGGAGGGGACAGAAAAGCAAATTTTAAAATGGGTAAAATAATTAAATGCTGTAAAGGAAGCAAGTGAGGTGCTATGATAAATAATGTTAGAGGACCTTTCTTTAGACGGGTGGTCAGGGAAGATGTCCCTGGAAAGGTGACAAGTGAGCTAAACTCTGAAGGATAAGAATCTAGCCATGGAGAGAAGGGGAGAATGAGCAACAATACACAGAGACTAGCAGGGCAAGTGATGGGCTCTGAGGAGAGAAAGAGATTGATGTGTTCTAGTCATCAAAATGAGGTCACTATGACTGGAGCACAGAGGACAGAGGGGAGGGAACATTCAGGACCTACCGAAGAGTAAAGAGGTCAGCAGGGGCGATCCCATGCTGGGCTTCGCAGAATTATATCTCACAACACTGTGTGTACAACACTCAGAACCTGGGTGACACAAAGTAAGCCAAGGGGGTAAACCTGGGAGAGTAGGGACTTTAGATACCTAGATGGACTTCTGGCCTCTCTTCTGCTCTTTACCTACCTGCCTCAACCCAACACCTCTGCTGACCCAAGATTCCCAGATGTCAGGACCCAGGACCCAAAACACATGTGTGTGTACAATAATGATAATCAAATAATCAAATAGTATTGAGGAAATCTTCAGCTCCAAAGTGAATCACAGCACTGGGGAACCAACACACCTGGCTCTTCGCAGAGAAAGTTGCATGAATTAGTCATTGTGGTAGCTGCAGCCCTCTTATGCCTAATCACACTGCACTGTTCAACAGCAGTAGGATGGGCTGTTGCTTGAGAGCTTTGCTGAGCGGGTTAAGAAATCCAGTACTAAGCTCTGTTTATGGAAGCCCAGAATTCTGGAACAAGGAGGCTCAGCTCAAAGGGCAGATGAGAGCAGGAGGTTCAAGAGGCAGGAGGCAGGGGGGCGGGTAACAGACACCAATTGGGCACTCAGTCTGTGCCTACGGCTATGGGAAGTTTCACGTACACCCTTATCTTGATTCTTCCAACAACCCATGTGGGGGTTACTATTTTGCCCATTTTCTACTCAGGGACTTTAGACCCGGAAAGGTCCAGGATTAGAATCCAGAACTCCCCCTTTACTCCCTGAAACGCCCACCCAAACTTTAGACTTTACCACCAGTGATTCGAAGAGCTTCTTTATCCACCCAGACTTAAATAAATGAGCAGAGGAACCAGCGAATCCAAGACAAATATGGCCTTGATGTGGGTAGGTAATGCTAACTAAACAGGAGAATTTGCTGGAACTCTCCAGAAATAATGAATGCCCAGGAAGTGGGCAAAGGTACTGGGAACTTGGGGACGTATCTGACTGCATAATGGATCCATTTATTTTGCATTCCCAAGAATCATGACACTCTGTGTCCCTTTACCCTAACATCCTCCTCCTCCCTTTTGAATCAAGGACATTTATTACTTTAAGAGGCATCCAGACATCACCTGCAATAAACAAATCATAGTTTGGCTTTGAGTCTATCTAGAAACCAAAGTCTTAAAATCTGGCCTTGGAAGGGAAAAACAATTTCTTAATTCCAGAACCATCCCTTTACATGCCAAGGGCAAAGCTTGGGGGTCTGCATCTGGAGTTTATTACAAGCCGTTGTGAGCTGAGACTTGGGAAACGAGGTCGGGAGAGTGGCCATTCCTCTAGAAGAAGGTGACCTCTCCCTGCCCTGGAGGAGGAAACAAGAAAGTAGGGAGACTTGGAGAGAATGGAAATAGGAGACAGATATTGCCTGGAGATGGAAGATGGATGACAGATTTGAGAGACGCTTGGAAGTAGGGCTAAAATATCAGTAATGGTACTTCTGGTGACAGTGAGGGATAGAAGGAGCCATGGGCAAGGGAGGAGGGCCAAGACTACACTGAGACAAGTAAGGGACAAGTACATGCACGTTCCAAAAAATGTGGTAATCAAGATAAAGAATGTTTCGATGCAATATTTTTAAAAATAAAAACGAATACCCAAAAAAATCCATAATGAACAAGATCAGTATTAACTGATTTTTCCCTTCGCTAGTCAGTTACTGATTCTGTCTTGAAGTAAAATCCTGCTAATTTGTTCATCGTGGATTTTTTTGCATTCGCTTTTTTTCAACTATTACATTCAAATATGACTTGACTGCTGGGGTTTTTGGTGCTCTCTTAAATGTTGCACCTGGCATGAGGGCTTCACTCACCTCACCCTAGTCTAGCGCTAAAGAGCAGATCTGGGGAGAGGAAATTATGATTCGATTTTGGATAGATGCAGAGGTTAAATGAGACTACAGATCTTAAGTGCCTTCGACCTGTGTTATAGTGGACTCTATGGGTGCCTGGCTCAAACCCCCCAGACCGTTCCATTTCAGGGCATGCCAGCTGCCAGCACCTGCATCCCCTGCCAAAGACCATCTTGACCACAAAGTAAGATAGGCTAGACCTGCCGGGTATGGAATGCTCTGGGGGCAGCCTTCAACCGATGATCCACAGGAGCCAGTGTATAAATACCCCAGCTCCCTCATTCTCAGATGGGGTCATTTTGAGATGTATGTGTCATACCATTTCCCAGAGCCCCAGGTGAGATTAAGCTCCACCACCCAGTGTAACTAGTTTGATTATGCACCTTAAGTTCCATCTTTTCTCCATCTCATTTCCCTAACCTCCCACTGGTGTTTCTTAGGATCACCTCCCAAATAAACTTCATGTTCTCAAATTCCTGTCCCAGGCTGGCTTCTAGGCCAACCAAACCACGATACACACGTGTCCTTATTCTCTTCTCTGTAAACACAAGGAATGTTCCACACACACTTGAGATGATCTGGAAGGAGACCCCCCTGACTCCAGCACTCTCCTGGGAGGGACCTCAACAGGGATAATTGTCAGCCAGCACTGGGAGGCCTGGATGTGAGATGGGCTCAGCTATGTTTCTATAAAGTCTGCACCCTGAGTTGAGAAATCATTGGCAGACACCTTTCCTGGCCATTAATTCTTTACAGCCGACACTGAGCCCTTGGAGCAAAAACTGATTGGCTGCAATTACTGCTGGCATGGCCCTGAATTCAGAACAGGAAGCGTGACTCTCTCCTCACCCCGCTACAATCACTCCTCTCCCTTAGTGCCACCCTCCACCCATCCCAGAGCCCAAGAGGAGCCAGCAAAGGCTGTTTGTGCAGACTGGAGACAAGAAATGGCCCTCAATCCAGAGGGACTAAGGATAGAAGACCATGGGCTTAAAATCATGGAAGATGAAGACCTTTTTCATGCTTTCTTCTGAAAAAATATTTTTCAGCATCCACACTTTTCCCCATGATCTCCATTAACACTTGCAACAACCTTACACAGTAGGTATTACTATGATGTCCCTCATACAGATGAAGAGGTGGTGAGAGGAAGAGGGGAATGTCTCAGCTTAGGTGACAGAATCTCTCCTTGACCAAACTGTAGTCGAGCTCCTCTGAACTCTCTTCCTGCCTGAGTAGGCCCTAACTTTGGGGCGTCTGTGTTCTACTCATATACAAAATTTCAGCAAGAATCCTGCTGAGATCTGGTTTGGCCAGAAGACACTCAATATCTGATTATGTTCCTCATCTTCCACCATATCCCAGGTGATGTCCAATTTGCCATCCACTGACACCCCTCCGTCCTGCTTTTTGGCTGTAAATTACCCCTTTTCTTTGTTATAATCAAAGTTGAATGCAATGTCTTTCCGCTACTGCAAAACCCCACTGTGGTGGCCCCTATACCTATCTCAACAGTCTCCTGAACAAAGTCTGCCTGACCATTTTTTTACAAGCATCGTGAATAATTTTTTCTTTAACACAGGTCACATAGAGAATAAGTCGATTTGGACTCAAGTCTCTTTGACTCCAAAGGCCATTCTCTTCCCTATGTCACATATTGTTTCTCTTCCTTCATTAAACATTTCCTGAGCACCTATGTGCCAGACCCTATGCTGAGCCCAAAAGAAGACACAAAGGTAAGTAATAAACATTTCTTTTCTCCAAGAGGGAGAAATAAAATCCTCCCCATTCAGCCCATTCTCACTCCGAGGGTCAGCACCTGTTTTCATAACATTTGCATACAAGCTGTGGGGAAGGGAGGGCTTGGGTGCTACAACAGCAGACCTGAGTAGGTACAAGAGACTCTCAGCCCACAAAGCCAAAGTATTCACTGCCTGGCCTTTTACAGGAAAAGTCTGCCGACAGCATGCCAGGCCCCAAAGACACACCATCAGTTATTTCTTGGCTCAACTCTATGAGGCTCATCCTATTATTACACCTATTTTAGAGATGAGGAATGAGGCTCAGAGGCATGAGACGACTTGGCACACTGCTGGGAAGGTGGAAAATTGAAGAATTCCAAAGCCCTCCACCCGGAAGTGGTGGACTTGAAAGCAGGCCCTGGGTAGAGAGACGAGGTGGGGGGCTGGGGGGGGAGGGTAGCAGGGATGTTTGGGAGACTGGACATTTAGCCAGAGGAGAGGACATGAACAGAGGATCTGAATGCTGTCCCCAAACACCTGAAAGACCCATTTGTGGGAAGCAGATGTAGATATCTGAGCTTTAAGGGTATAACCAAGACTAGTGAGTAGACAATTCAAGGTGGTAATCTTTTACTTTCTGTAAAGAATTTACTCACAGTTAGAGATATCCAAGAATGGACTTAGCTGCCTGGTTAGGTGTTCAAGTAAGGGCCATAAAATCTCTGGGTGAGGAAGGGCTTGGCAATTCAAAGATTTGGATTTGGCGATATTCAATGGTCTTCTATCTCTGATCTTCATAGATACATGCACCAGGAAGCTGAAGGCATTAATCTACCACTGTAATAACACTGACAGCCACCAGGTGGCAAGAAAGCCACATCTTCTGCACCAAGAATCAATTCTTAGCCTACAGAAACCTAATTGGGAAACAAACAAACAAAACATATAAACAAGTAATTGATTCAGACAAATTAACATTCATGGGCAAAGACTATGAATCAAGTCCTCAGTTGAGCTTTAGTCCCCAGCACAACCCAGAGAACTTAATATCAAGTAATTTTTTTGAAAATAATCCTTTTCAAAAATTTTTATAATATATATATACAGCAAAGTGCACAAATTATAAATGTACAGCTCAATGAATTTTCACAGAGCACACCTGTGTAAACAGCACAGCTCAAGAAACAAAATATGACATGAACCCCAGAAGTTCCCTTTCTAGTCACTCCCCACCACCTATCCTGACCTCTCACACCATGGATTAGTTTTGCTTGTCTGTCAGTTTTCCATATATGGAATCATACAGTATGGGCACCTTCATGTCTTGCTTGGACAGTCATATTTGTGAAATACATTGATTTTGCTTTCAGGTCATTGTGGTTTTCTCATTGCTGTGTAGTAGTGTGTGGTGTGAATAAACCACAATTGCTTTGTTCATTTTCCTATGGATGTGCATCTGAGTGGCTTCTAGTTTGTGGGTACTGCACATAATGCTGCTATGAATTTCTAGTACGTTCCTTATGGAGTATGTACACATTTCTATTAGGTGTGGAATTGCTAGGTCGTGGGAATAGACACTGGCGGCTTCATCTTTACTAGACAGCTCTAGTAGACACTAAAGTGACAGATTTTCAGTTTTCCAAAGTGACTACAAATTTACACACTCACTGACAATGTATGACAATTCTGGTGGCTCCACAGCCATGGCAGAATTCCGTTTAGATAAGCTTTGGTGGAGGAAATGTGGGGTCTGCAGTGAGCACTGCAGCAGCTCTGTGCCCTCAGAGGGTGTGTGTGTCTGGGCGGCATGACTGGGTGAGCACGAACCAGGAGGAAGATTCCATCCCACCAGCATATCCTGATGAGACCTTCAGCACACTGGTACCTGCTGGATGCAGAACCTCACTTCACATGCTCTCAACAATTACCAGAACGGTACAGCACTTACAGCTTCTGTAACACCATAATGTCTCTTCCCCTACCTCTTTAGCCATTCCTTCCCAGTCCCCTTTCCTGTATTCGCCGGGAATGAAGACATATTCCCAGTACTTTCCTAAGTGCTAAGGATATAACAGTGAAGAGCCAGACAATACCTCTGCTCTGATGAAGCTTAAGTTCTAGTGGGGGTGAGGGAAGGCGGTAAATAAATGTCAGGTGTTGAACATTCTATTTAAAAAAATAATAAAACAGAGTAAGAAGATACAGAGTACAAGGAGGATGCTATTTTAAAATTGGTGGCTACAAGATCACCTTACACTAGTTAGAATGGCTATTATCTAAAAGAAGTGTTAGTGAGGCTGTATAGAATAGGGAACACTTGTGCAGTGTTGGTAGGCATCTAAATTGGTAGTCACTATGAAAAATAGTATAGAGGTTCCTCAAGAAATTAAAAATGGAACATCTGATCCAGTAATCCTGCTTCTGGATATATATCTGAAGAAAATGAAATCACTACCTCAAAGAGATATTTACACTACCGTGTTCACTGCAGTATCATTCACAATAGTCATGATATGGAAACAAACCTAAGTGTTCATCAAAGGATGAATGTATTTTTTAAGAATATGTGTATATACAACAGAATGTTACTCAGCCATAAAAAAGGAAATCCTGCCCTTTATGACAGCATGGATGGACCTCGAGGGCATTATGCTAAGTGAAATAAGTCACCTGGAAAAAAGACAAATACTGTATGTTCTCACTTATATGCAGAATCTAAAAAAGCCAAACTCAGATATAGAGAATAGAATAGTAGTTGTCAGTGGTGTAGGGTGAGGAAAATTGGGAAAATGACAGTCAAAGAGTACAAACTTTCAATTATGAGTAAATTCTGGGCAGCTAATGAACAGCATGGTGACTATAACAATACTGTATTAAATACCTGAAAATCATTGAGAGTAAATATTAAATGTTATAACCACCAAAAAAAAAAAATGGTTGTGAAGGAATGGCAGTATTATAATTATTTTGCAACATATACATGCATCAAATCATCACATTGTCACCTTAAACTTACACGTTGTATGCTAATAATATCTCAATAAACCTGGGAAAAATAAAATAAAATGAGTGGTTAGAGGAGTGATAAGGTGACTCTGAGTAGAACCCAGAAGTGAGGGAATAAACTACAAGAAAACAGAGCTCCAGATACAGAGAACCAGACAGTGCAAAGGCCCAGCGGCAGTGTATTCCATTGCTGAAGTAGCACCCCCAGGGCTTATAATTTTACAAAGTGGTCTTCTTGTCAAATAGATGTCTAGCAGTGAAGTGGCAGGGTCAAAGACTTGTGACTTTGTCACTTGACCACTACTTCCTTGAAACCCTTTCCTCTCTTGGCTTCTGTGACACCATACTGTCTCTTCCCCTATCTCTTTAGCCATTCCTTCCCAGTCCCCTTTCCTGTATTTAAGTAAATTTCAGGAGACAGAATAATGCCCCGTCCCCAGATGTCCATGTCATAATCCCCAGAACCTGTGTCTATGTTACCTGTGGCAAAGGGGACTTTGCAGATGTGATTAAGTCAAAGATCTTGAGATAGGAGATGATCCTTGATTATCAGGGTGGGCCCAATGTAATCATAAGGGTTCTTATAAAAGGAAGCCAGGAGACTCAACATCAGAGATGTGACAATGGAAGCAGGGGCCAGGGTCAGAGTGACTGAATACAAGGTCTCAACCAAAGTTAATGGCTTTGAAGAAAGCAGAAGGGGCCACGAGCCAAAGAATGCAGTCTCTAGAAACTGGAAAATGCAAGAGAACACATCTTTCACTAGAGCCTCAGAAGGAATGCAGCCCTGCTGTCCCTTGATGTTAACCTAACGAACCATTCCAAACTGCTGACCTCCAGAACTATAAAATATTAATTTACCTTGCTTTAAGCCACTAAGTTAGTGGTAATTTGTTATAGCAGCCACAGGAATTATATATAGGAATTAACAGCGTGTTGTTCTGAATTTTCTTCTGCTCCCCATCTACATTTACTTTTTTAGGGTTTTCATCCAGTTTGTGACAAACTTGTAAATTTATATCTCTAATCCACTCTGTGCATTTTTTCTACTTGACAGTAATAGATTTTATTTGCTCAGAGGTTCTTTAAGCATTTGCTGGGCATGTGCCTGGATGCTATGAGCCCAAATTCATGTACTCTGTAAGGAAAAAAATTGTATATTCAGAGTTAATCATAGTCTAATCATTACATTTCCTCAGCATATTGCTCAGATAATATCGGATATTTAAATAGCTTAGCATATCCCTACTCTTTTTGAGTGGTGAAACCTCATTATCCTCCCACTTCTCGTTGAAAACTCTGGTTAATCCTTGAACACTTAAAATACAAGGGAAGCCAACTCTAAGCATCACACATCCCGTCAGAAGCAATACATCAGGGGACAATTCTGTGGCTCAGCAAACATGTGTCAACATCTGGAGACACTGTTGGTTGTCACAACTGGGGGGGAAGGGAAGAGCTACTGGCATCCAGCAGGTAGGCACCAGCCAGGGATGCTACTAAATATCCCATAATACACAGGACAGCCCCAACAACAAAAAATTATCTAACTCCAAATGTCAATAGTGCAAAGGCTGAAAAACCCTTTCTAGATGAATCCTGTACAGATGTTTTTTCAACGAGAGTTTGGATTAGCTTGGCAACATTTAACCCAGTATCACAGTTGGAATGTACTTTTAAACACCTCAGAGGCTCTTTTAATCATCTGATTCACATTTTTTTTTCAAACCCTTTCACTGAGTTTCCATTTCTGAATTCTGTTTCTGGAGCAGCCCATACTACATTCATTCCACTCCATATAAACGTACTTGAGTTGCCATGTTCTCCCAAAATCCATTCAAGACGAGACAGATTCTAGAATGCTACATTTTTCAGACATAAGACAGCAAAACCTATCAAAAGATAGTTTACACCTACTTCGGATCACATGGTGCTTGGGAAATTCTTTTGGTTTCTAGCTAACATATATAAGAATATTCATTGGATTGAAAAACACAAATATACACTCTAGACTGTACTTTATGATCTGGGTAATTGTGGATTCAAAGTTATTAACTCTCTTGTGAATCAGATTGAGGTGACTCTCTCTCTTACTGATAAGACTCCCACAGTTACCTCCACAATTTTAGAATGAGCAGTGATCTTTATGTGCCACAATTGTAGTTGTCCAAGGAAATGAGCTCTCATGTTGAGCATTAATTTCTTTGAGTTGTTCTTCCAAAATATCCATAGAGATGAGTAAGATCAGCAGCAAGACTCCACAGAATGTTGATGGCCCAGCACTCCCTGCAGTGACAATATTTGACATCGTTTCCTCTTCTGTAGCCAATGTTACTTAGTTTTTTTTGTTAAGTGTAGCCACTGGCTCTGGGGAAAAAGAGGTGAGAGAAAGCAGAGGAGGATGTCAGTTGCATCTTTCTCTATGGGTAAACGAACTGCAAGAAGGGAGGAAACACCCCACTGTGAATATGCATCCTTTAATAAGTACTACCCTGTTACCTTCCCCAAAAGAATGTTCAATCCCACCAATTTCTGGTTCTCTTCTAGTTAATAATGAATTTTAACAAATTTTAAAGTATTGACAATTTGATGAGTGAAAAAAATGTTATCATATTGTGGAATTCTCCTTTCTCTACTATATTAAATGATTTTTTAAAAAAGATAAACCTATGTTTTAAGCACAGTATAGTCTCTACCACTAGATGCCAGTATTAACACTCACCCTCCCGCAGTCTTGACAACCTACAAGTCTCCAGACTGCCAAATGTCCCCCCTACCTCGCTTTCAACCAGAAACTGAAGAATATCAAGATTGCACTGCTCAAGAAGAGCTGGGATATACGGAAATATCTAAACAGCCAGTATTAGCTCAGTAGTACCCTTTTCTCTCAGCTTCTGTGACACTATGCCCTCCCGGTTTTTTCCACATCTCTGTAGTCTCCTTTTCTATATTTCAGAATACTCCAGGGTCTTCTACTCTCCTATACTTACTCCGTTGGCGTTTTCACCTAGTTCTCAAGCTTTAAATGGAATTTCTAGTGATAAACTCAAAAATGTATATTTCTGCTACATAGATAATGTACCTTCCAAACCAACAGGGGAAGGGATGGCGTTGGGGCATCTGCTACATGATAATGTACCTTCCAAACCAACAGGGGAAGGGATGGCGTTGGGGCAACGGACTCTCCATATGGGGAAGAAAAAGAGCGCACCTCTGTAAGAGGGCTGCCAAGTCCTGCTCAGTTTTCTTGGGCCAGAGGCCTGGACCGTGCTACCTTTGTGAACACCTACGGCGAACGTGGGATTGCCATGTACATAGCAACCTCTAGGTGACTCCAAATGTCAGTGCTCTTCACGAGACCACAAAGAGGGAAACGTGCAGGGAGGCGGGTGAAGGCTGATGATGGCTACGTCCGAGACACGAGGGAAACCAGCAGGGCTGTGAGCTTGCAGTGCGATTCCAGACGGGTCACCCCGCCCTTAGAGCTCAAAACTCAGATGCTGTAAAATGGGCTAACCAAGTGTGTTCGAGAGCGCGTTCCCCGCCCAGCACAGCCGGGGCCGACCGGTGGAGCAAATGCGGTCTCGTTTTAAGGGACCAATCAGAGACCACAAAGGCCTAGTACGACAACCTCTAGAACCAATGGAAAACGGAGAGTCTCCTAGCTTGCCTTCCTAGCGCCAGTCCCGGAGAAATAACGCTGAGGAAAAAACTTTTACTAAGTGCAAATTAGAAGACAAGTCCGCGTCTGGACGACGGGATATTACCCTTACAAAGATGGGTGGAGAAAATTTTCTGAGCAGGTAAAAAAAAAACACCGCACTTCCCCGAGAACTCGCCGGCGGACCCACTAGTCACCCTCGCGCCCAGGGATCCAGAGCGGGAGAGTACGTGCTGCGCGGTGACGTCACGCGCTGGGCCCCGCCCCCAGCCGCCCGCCCTTATAGCGTAACCCTGGCGCGCGCGCACCATTGTGTGGCTGGACTTGGCCGCCGCTGCCGTGAGGCGCGTGTTTGGGTTCTTGCCGTCCCCGCACTCGCACCGCGGCTTCTACCTTGCGGTCCGCCGTTCGACAGCCAGCCCTCGGGCCCCCCCGCCCGCCAAGGACATGCCGCGCGTCTACATAGGACGCCTTAGCTACCACGTCCGGGAGAAGGACATCCAGCGCTTTTTCAGTGGCTATGGTCGCCTCCTCGAAATAGACCTCAAAAATGGGTGAGTTGGACCTGGGCGCCCGCTTCCGCCCTCACTGTTTCGGGCCTGGCGGTGGCGGGACACCCCAAAAAGGAAAAGGCTGCCAAGGCCGCGGCGCCGCGTGGCAGGGCCTCCAAGATGGCGGCGACGCGGGGCCTCGGGAGCGCGCGGGGGTGGCGGTGGCCGCGCGTGCGTGCGCGCCCCCGGCCTAACGGCGCCACGCCTGTCCCGGCTCTCGCACCGCTCTTAGGTACGGCTTCGTGGAGTTCGAGGACTCCCGCGACGCCGACGACGCCGTTTACGAGCTGAACGGCAAGGATCTCTGCGGCGAGCGCGTGATTGTGGAACATGCCCGGGGCCCGCGCCGCGATCGTGACGGCTACAGCTACGGAAGCCGCAGTGAGTCCCAGCCCCGCGCGCTCCGCGTCCTTGGGACCGAGGGGGGGTAGACGCAGGACTAGGGGGGGACCGGGGTGGGGCCTCCCAGCCCAGGCAGGCGCAGTGGGTGGTGTCGTTTGACTCGGGTGTCTCTGGGCCCCGCTGCCTTCACGCCTGTCCGGTGCAGCCACGGGACGCCGGAGCGCGGGGATTGGGTTGTGGGTTTTGCCTAGCCAGGGTTGGGTATTTGGGAGGTTTTTGCTAAGTGGGGAGGTGGGTGGCTTGTGCTGGGCCCCTGTCAGCACTGTCGTGAACTCTACCTACAGAGGAAGTGAGGGATGGCTGTATTTATTGTATCCCCCTTGCTTACCTGTCAGTGCATTTGCTAGAAATGTAAATGTCAGCGTAGAAGTTGGGGGTCAGGCTGGGGTGGAGGTGGGGACGGGGTAAGGGGAGGAGTTTTAGTTTAGATCTGAAACTTATTAAAATTGGCGGGGGCCAAGGAAAATAATATTTTGAAGTAATGTGGTATTTACCACAAGTAAATAAATAAGCTTTATGCTGTATTTGAACTAGTGGGGGCATGTTTTTGGGAGGAGGTGGGGGGATTTTTGGTTATGTTAAATGTTTGATGTTGAAATTGTTGCATGTTGAATTCAAACTTTTTAACAAGTCCTTGATGTTTCAATTTGAAAGTGACCAATGGGGCTGAGGCTGTGTCCACTGAGGCTAAGATGACTGCCTTTCCTGATTGGCCTTGGCTTTTCCATACATTGTGTGACCCTTGCCCTATGACCCTTTGGCTGACCTTACCGGAAGCCATGACGACAGCAGCCTTTTGCCATTAGACGCAGGGTGATGGTGAGGATTCCAAGGGTTAGACAAAACTGGTTAATCTGAACTAGGTGACTGTTACCTTGCGTGTTTTGTGGCCAAACCACCACCAAAAACCTCACACTGTGATGTAAGTACTTAGTGTAACTAGTAAACATTTTTGTAAAATGTAGAAATGCATGTAATCAGTTAAGTTTTATATTTTACAATGTTCTGTAAAATAAAACTTAGCGAGGTAAATTGAATAAAGGAGCAGTCACTCTCTAACAGATTGTAGGAGAAGTTTAGTTGGATTTAGTCTATTTGGCTTGCCCTTAACTTAATTTGTGGCAAATCACAATTGTATGAAAGGTTTAGCATATAATAGCAAAGTCCTACTCCAGTAAATAAAAGTTGATATGTTTGTACTAACTTTCAAAAACGTTATGGATTTCTATCATTACAAAGCATCTAATTGTTCCCTTCGTATGATAAAGGTGGTGGAGGTGGATACAGCAGTCGGAGAACTTCTGGCAGAGACAAATATGGACCACCTGTTCGTACAGAATTCAGACTTATTGTAGAAAATCTTTCAAGTCGTTGCAGTTGGCAAGATTTAAAGGTATGTGCTATAATTCAAAGTAAAAATACTAATGTTTACAGCATAGGCTCATATTTTACTTTTCCATTTCCGAGAGGTATATAATATGTAGATGTTTAGATTTTTGGGCCTGACCTGTCTTGTTGCTCTTTTAGGATTTCATGAGACAAGCAGGTGAAGTAACCTATGCGGATGCTCACAAAGAACGCACAAATGAAGGTGTAATTGAGTTTCGCTCCTACTCTGACATGAAGCGTGCTTTGGATAAACTGGATGGTACAGAAATAAATGGCAGAAATATTAGGCTCATTGAAGATAAAGCACGAACAAGCCATAGGCGGTCTTACTCTGGAAGCAGATCAAGGTAACTTGAAGGATGTGGAGAAGAGAGAAAATATTTGTTAATGAAGGAAGACCAGCCATATTTTCGTTAATACTTAATTAAAATTTGATCAGTTCTTAGTTATACATAATTGGGTCCTCTTCCAGATGTTTTGATGGTAGATGTAATTTGTAGTGAGCAACTTGTCTATTGCTTTTCATGACACATTCATGTTGATGTTTTGAGATTATGATATTATTGTGGTTCTTACAGATCACGGTCTAGAAGAAGGTCACGAAGTAGGAGTCGCAGGAGCAGCCGCAGTAGATCACGAAGTGTCTCAAAAAGTCGCTCCCGGTAAATAATGTTGGGTCTTTTTCTGCAGTTTGTGGAGTACTTATTCTTGCAAGGTATTGATAAAGAATCTGGCTTTTCTTGTTCAGCTCTAGGTCTCGGAGCAAAGGTCGATCACGTTCTCGGTCAAAAGGCAGGAAGTCTAGATCAAAGAGCAAATCTAAGCCCAAGTCTGATCGGGGCTCCCGTTCGCGCTCTCGAAGCAGATCTAAGGATGAGTATGAGAAATCTCAAAGCAGATCTCGTTCTCGTTCCCCCAAAGAAAATGGAAAAGGTGATATAAAGTCGAAATCTAGATCAAGGAGCCAGTCTCGTTCCAATACACCCGCACCTCCTCCACCCTCAAAGGCTCATTCTACATCCCCTCCACCAAAAAGAGCTTCAAGATCCCGTTCTAGATCCCGTTCAAAGTCAAGGTCACGGTCCAGATCGAGTTCCAGAGATTAACCCAGAACTCTATGTTCTTTGCACACTATTACGGAACACTTTCCTACTTGCTTAGGCAGTTACTCTTCCATTTATACTTGGCCTCTTCTGCAAGAGGAAATTTCCTGAAAACAAGGGCACACAAATTTGATATGTGGCCAAATTTGATGAAAAAGATGAGGTTCTAAAGAAATGGTGGCATGAAGACCTTCTCCCTTCTTTATAGAATTAAGATAACTTTTGATTTTATAGCTTTTGAGCTAAAATAACTTTTGTAAAGATTAAGCTCATTTAGATTTTTTTTTTTTTTTTTTTTTTTTTTTTAACAATAGTGTTGAAAGACTTTAGTGTAAGTTTGAAGTTTATTTTCTTATTGGCCGAATATCCTGTGAAAAAAGAATGTTCTTTTGTTTGTTTGCTTACTTTTAAATTAACTTTCAAGCTTTGGATACTGAAGGCTTTAGAGGGAGAACTCATTTTGCAATTATGTTGGCTTTTTATAAAGCTTGAGTTACATAAGATTTCAATAAAAGTTTGCTACCAAGATGATTGCCTTATTGAATAGGTCACTATTAATTCCTTTAAATGTTGATATCTGCTGTTCGTGGAAACTATAAATTCTACTTAAGTGTGTGTAAAACAAGGCAAGCCTCAGACCAGCAATAAATTATTCAATTTGGATAACATTTTGTGCTATTAAATTTGCCAAAGTCATTGTATTTGCCCCTTTCACATGTTAAGTTAAAAATAAAAGATATTTTGTAGTCAACCTGTTACACAGTTTTGCTTAAATTAATGGATTTTACATAATGAAACTTTCAAACTTTGAACTCTTGAAGAAATAGCACTTAATACTTGGTATCTCATACAGTCTGGTAACCCTACTTTCTGGAAGTGGTCAGTATAACTAGTGTTTTGTTAGAGTACGGTTCCATGTTCTTTAATATTTGTTACATAAAAATAGAAGTGGCCTTTCATCAGAAAGTTAGTATACAATTGTTCAAGTACAAAAGCAAATGCATTTTCTTTTGAAAGACGATATTTAACAGGCACTTAACAAATCACTTGGGAAAATCAGTTGCTGATTAAAGTCAAATTTCACCCAGTAATGTCTCCTTTGCAGTTCGGGTTATATGTTAATTGCTTAGATCATCCTTGTAAATTTTACAACACAAGGTTAGAAGGGGAATGGGTAAACTAAGTTTTTTGTTCTTATGAATGAAGCAATGAAATTGGAGACCAAATTATACTATAAATTTGTAGGAGTTGCTTGATTATCAATTAGTTCATATAGCAGTAAGCCTAACTGAAATGGCAGTTTGAGAAATGAATTAACTTTATATCTTTGTTCAGATACTGTCCTTTAAAATAAGCACTCATTAAACATTTACTGTCTTTTAAGAGCTTTTGCTAGGTAAAGTACCAAGGGTTGGGTCATGGTGATACACTGCTCATTGTGCCACAGGCATACAGCCAGTGTGTAGGATCAGTTAATCCAGAAGGGATATGTAATAAAGCTGCATGAAAAAATCAAGGCAAAGATCTAAGTGTCAAAACTGCAGAGTAGCTAGGAATACTTAATGAGTAAAATGACTTGTTCTTAAATTCCTTGGATTGTTACAAAATCTTAGAACCTGATCTTGGAAATGTAATGCCTCAAAAGATTGATGCTTCTTCCATGACCCTATTTTCTTTATTTTGATATTTTTTAATTTAGATGTTTATAAGAAATGGAGTTTTTTACTAATATGAATTTCAGGAAAGTAGTGTCCATAATTATAGTTTATTATTTTGCGAA